AGATTACTGTGGAGCCCAGTTTTTGTACATTTCTGCCAGCGAGAAGAACCACCGTTGACGCGCCGTCCAGATGAGGCGCAACGAAGGACAGGGGTGACGAATGAGGTATGAGGTTCGAAATTTCGACTAAGCCGGCCTGGCCGTCGACATGCGCATCGCGGCTGCTGACGATCATGCTATCACCTCTGCTCCCTTAGTTCTCTACCTGACTGCCTGAACGATGCCGCCCTAATTTGAGCGGGCAGGGAATGACTCATTGAGGTTGTGCGGCGGTTAATCGATGCAACGTTGAACTACGCGCAAAGATCAAATAAATACCAGTTTCTCGTTTTCGGTTTGCATGTCGAGTCGCGCCGCGATCGAGTTACGGGTCTCCAGAAACGCCTTCCTCTGGTTCATGTCCATCACCAGGTGGACGAACAGACCGACGCCGTTTACCCATATGCAGACGATGAAATCGGCGATCAGCTGAAATACAAAGCACACGTTAGCATTTGAGATGAGAACGAGAATACGTTCACTCACTCTTAATCAAACAATGCTGTTTTTTTAACCTGGTCTTCTCCAAGCATTAGGGTCAAGCACACGACTACGAAAAAAGTCACGTTTCCACCGGAACAGAATTTATCTCATCGATCTCTGGGGCCCTGGAGCCTCCGGAGTGAACAGTTCGCTGATGCAAAACACTTTGACGCCTGATTACTCACGAGGACTTAGCCAGAGGGAGGCACCCCAACTGATAATCAACCAGTAGATAGTGGTTCGGTCATGACGGCGGAGTGAACACGACAGAGGCGAAAATTCCGTTTCATTACCCTCATGCGTTTGCCATCTGCTAACGATGTACTCCTCCAGAATTTGCATAGAGGCAGCAAAGTTCGTTGTACCCCCCTCCGCCATCCAGAGAAGTAGTTTCTTCTGAAACGCAGCATTGCCCAGCCGAAGCAGAAACACAAAAAAGGCACTTTTTTACGTCGAATTACCAGGAAAGGCAACACGTTTAGATATCAAACAGGGATATTTGAAGAAAAACATGATATCATGCAATATCTGCCGGATTCATGCGTTTGCATAGCTGATAATGACTGATAAATAAGAAGCAAATAACTTCCGTCAGCAGTCCGCACCAAAAGCAGCGGGATGTGAAATAAATGGAGATAGAAATATCACCGTAGGTTCTGTCACGGTTTATACGGTTTTGTCGATCGCCGAAAACCAGCTCATTTTGACAATCCATTCTTATGAACGAAGTTATGCTGAAAATGAATGAATGCCGAACACTTATGATACGACTGATGGAACTTTATGCATGCCTAGGTACACGGCTCGGATCTGAAGCAAGAGGTCAACAGGACTAACTCATAACT